CTTTTTCTTTTTTTTGAGACGGAGTTTCGCTCTTGTTGCCCAGGCTGGAGTGCAATGGCGCGATCTCGGCTCACTGCAACCTCCGCCTCCTGGGTTCAGGCAATTCTCCTGCCTCAGCCTCCTGAGTAGCTGGGATTACAGGCACATGCCACCATGCCCAGCTAATTTTTTGTATTTTTAGTAGAGACGGGGTTTCACCGTGTTGACCAGGATGGTCTCGATCTCTTGACCTTGTGATCCACCCGCCTCGGCCTCCCAAAGTGCTGGGATTACAGGCTTGAGCCACCGCGCCCGGCCCGGTACATCATCTTCTTGAAGTAAAGTCCCCTTTAGAACTGCCTTTGATGAGGCTCTGTTGAGAGTAAACTAAATTTGTTTTCTGAAAATATCTTAAAAGTTGTCTTAATTTCAAAATTCATGCAATTTTATATTCTATTAATATAGTTTTTATTTTAATATAAAGTAATATTTTAAGTAACAGAGAGGGAAAACAAAACAAAAATTATAAACCTTATGAGTCATCACAAGAGATTATCTCCATCTTTCACAGGTTCTTAAACTGCCTACAAATTGTAGGTGATTATAACCCTAATTTACCTGTCCACACTGACTCTACTGGCTATGAGAACTCACATTTTTGCAATTCCCAACAATAAGGCAGTAAGGCACAAATCTCCTTGGTTTTCTAAGTAGGTTCCGGTCAAGAGCAGGTCACTATATTTTCTCTAATACTTATCTGTAAAGGAATTTAGTTCTTTTGTTTTTCTTGAGACAGAGTCTCACTCTGTTGTCAAGGTTGGAATGCACTGGCATGATCTCAGCTCACTGTAACCTCCACCTCCCAGGTTCAAATGATTCTCCTGCCTCAGCCTCCTGAGTAGCTGGGATTACAGGCGCCCGCCACCGTGCCTGGATAATTTTTATATTTTTAGTGGAGATGGGGTTTCACCATGTTGGCCAGGCTGGTCTTGAACTCCTGACCTCAAGTGATCCACCTGCCTTGGCCTCCCAAAGTGCTGGGATTAGAGGTGTAAGCCACCACGCCCAGCAGGAATTTAGTTTCGAAATCATATGTGTAACTCAAAATGCTCTCTTTTAAGTGATGAAACTGGTTTCCTTATCTAAGCATTACTGATATTTATTAATATGGCTTCCTGACAAGTAATTCTTATACTAAGTATTCAAAATTTTGTTGAATAAAATAATGTGTATTTATATTAATTTACATGAATTAGAATAGCCAACTCCCTCAATGTCAGGAAAAAAAAATCCATTCATTTTGCTAAATAAAGAAAGATAAGGAGAAGTACATGCCACCTACAAACTCAAGAGTAATGTTGCTTTAGCTTCAGGCAAAGTATTCTGAAGTGAGGCAGTCTAGTTTCAGCCCTTGATTACACCACCAATGGGCTGAGACTTCTTCCTTAGCTGAAAGTACCTTTGGGCTGCTAGGCGTAGGAGGCAGAAGTGAAGAGGAGGAAGGTGTCCAGTCCCTTCACCAGTCTGCTTCATACAAAGCAATCTACTTTTATTTCTTTAATATATTTGAGTACAAGATATTGCTTCAAAGAAAAAAAAGTTTGAAAACCACTGGATTAGAGACTTCTATATTGTGTATATTTAAATCACATGTCTTTGATATCGGTTAACTAAATTTTCAATATATTTTGTCAATCTAAAGTTTCTGGGAAGATTTTTAAAAACAACCAATTTCCTCAAAGATCAAAGTGGAAATATAAATAGGAAATGTCTCAAAACTTTGCAAAGTCAGGATGTGAGTTGTATTGAAGAGAAAACAAAGGAAAGAAACTGAAATAAAACAGATGACACATCTTTTTCAAATGTCACATTTAATGTTTTCACCACTGTACTTCAAATCTACATTGTACAAAGTGTGCCACGGTAATTGACCAACCTCTGAGATTGTACCTTTCACACCAGTGTCTTCTTGGGCTCTTTTGATACTAAACACGTTTCTCATTCAAGTGAATTGAAATGCTTCAGTTGGGTTGATTCTCAGGAGCCTCATAAAAAAAAACAAAGATATTGCACCATCTTTGTTTAGTAATTCAATGTTTGTTTCTTTCACAGCAAATAATTACTTCATTGAAGTTAAAACTTCCAAACATAACTTATTAATAGTCTTCAGATTCAGCTCAGATCACTCAAGTTGAAAATACTCTGCTAAATACAGATAACTTACAATAACTTTAACAGTTAATTGTCCATAACACACACCAAGGTTTTTTCCTAGACCAATTTTAAGACGATCCATTAATATTCCTTGTACAGGTGAAAAATGATCTTCAATTTTCTTTTTATTTTTAATATAAAAGTTGGAAGGGACATTCAAGTTTCAAGTCTCCACACTGAACTTAAAAAAAAAAAAAAAAATAGTCATCATCAGCATGTGGAGGTAAACAAGCCAAGTTGTATAACTCCAGGAGGTAGAGGCCTTCGATTTGTATTCATATGTACATATGCACAGAAGAATTCAGTGTTCCAACAGAAAAAAAGAACTTGTCAAAAAGTAATAAGTTATTTACTACTGTGACATTTCAAGACTCCCACAGCTTTGCCTAAGGACACAAACACATTTAACATAATTCCCTATGTGCCTTTTTAGTTGTGGCTTAAAATTTTTTTTTAATTTGTTTTTGTCTTTTATTATTTTTTTTACTGTCCAGTGCAGGAAAAGTCTCACAAAATTTCACAGACCTAAAATGTGCAAGCTAGTTCTCTTTCTATACAGCAATGTTGGGATTCTTTTGAAATTAGCCCAGAAATGAATTATTTACACACATGAAAGATGCATGCTTGGGGTTCTTTTATGTAAGAAAGAGCAGAAAAACTTCTAATAAAAATAGATTAAATATATATATATATATTTATACTGGGTAAGGAAAACAAAAGTTTAGTCTCTCCTAGTCACAAACTCATTCTCTCTACCCACAACATTGGATTTTAGACAGCACACATCACCATCACGGCTCTAATGAGAAGCTAATTATAGGGCTTGATCATTAGGTGGCATGCCCCTCATCCCTACCCTCCCCCCAGGTGCAGCCACGATCAGTTCACGTGGCTCCATGATTGGTCGCAGGCAAGGTTTCTAGATTTTTTTTTTAGTTTTAGAAAACCCCCAATCTTTAGGAATGGCTCAAATATCAAAATGTATGACTGTCCTTTGTGTGTGTGTGTGTGTGTGTGTGTGTGTGTGTGTGTGTGAACAATCTCACTTCATTTTAGAAAAGAAAAACAAAACAAAAACATAAAACCCCAAACTCCCAAATTTGGTTCAATTCTCTTTTGTTCTGAGGTGAGCCATAACAGCTGCACTGAATTCATAAAACATGTGCAACTCTGGGTAAAATATTTTTCTTCTAAAAGCACAACCACTTTACAAGATTAAAAGTCTAGTAACATTTCTAAATATTATTCATATCATACAAGTAGTGGTTGTTAATTTAAAACTTCATTAGTAAAATTACAGTACAAGCATGATTAACCTCCAGAATTGCAAATCCCAGACTCCAGTGGAAAGCTACATTACATCTTCAGTAGTACATTATCTTCCACCATCACTCCCACACCAGAGGAGATGGGGGCATCTCAGATGGCTGAGCAACAGTGGAACTGGAAGAAAACAGTGATGGAGAAATTAGTTGTAATGCCACAATGGCAAAAGGGTAATTCACGACTGCCTGTTTTCCTCTCTTCCTCTGAAAAAATTAAGTCCACTTCTGGATTTTTACTTGTTTCTTTAAAGTTGAATTTGTTCTAAGTTGTCTGTTTAAGGATCTATTATCTACGGAGAGGCAATATGGTGTAGTGGGTAATATATAGGCTGAAATTAACATGTCATTTACTAGTTGTATGGCACTGAGCAAGTGCCTTAATCTCTTCTCATCTGGAAAGGAACAATGCTGTTTACCTCAAAGGATATTGTGATGAATAAATAATAACAGATGTGAAGTGTTTTCCACAGTGCCTACTTCATAGTGTAAAGTAAATGGTAGGTATTACAAGTGACAATTTCAACAATCAGGAAAACAACCTTAAGGGATGTAGAATTATCCATTTAAAAGTAACCTCTCAAAATACAGTGGCCTATTTGAATGAGCCTTAGAAGCATTCTTTTATCAAGTATTAATTAAGAAATATAGGTAATCATTTAGCATTGGTTATCTACAGATGTTACTGACTTTTTCCTATGTCTGACTAAGGTTGCTAATTAGATTATAAACTTGAGAGGGAAAAGTGAAACCATTTTGTTTCTCCAAGGCCCAGGATCATTTATACCTAAGCTGCTAAACTGCCTAATTGACAGGGTCAATAACTCTTAGGGGAAAATAGTAAAACAAAGTAATTTAAAACCACAGATAAATAAAAATGCAACTTGATTCCTTCTTCCAATAGAAAAATACATAGAAAAAAGGAAAGTCAGGTCTTATAATTTTACAAATTTTACACATAAAATCTTGACTGTGGTCCAACAGATTCAAACAACTTCAATATGATTCAAGGGAAAGAGCAGAAGAAGAGAGAAAAAGGAGAAGAGAAAGGCAGTGGGGAAGATAGAGACTGTGTGGCCACTCAGATCCAAATCTATGCTTCTTTGTCTTGCTTTGTGATGGTGGAGCCAGACCCTGTTCATGATTCCCTTTGCCACTGAGCTAAACGTTAGTGTTTGTCAACAAGAGGGTGCCGGAAGGGCACTGCAAAGCTGTGGCATCGGGAAGCAGGCTCTCTTCCCTGGTTTGTTGTGCTTTTTTTCGTCATGTGGAAGGCTCAGCTTTGCTCCACTCAAACTCTCCTGGCAGGCGTCTTCGATGGACCAGTTCTGCCCACACCTTCTGGCACACTTCCTCTTCTGCACTCTACCCTCATGCTGTGTTCCTGTTCCTGTGGCAGCCATAACCTCTCCAAAGAGGTCCTTACATAGAGGAACTGCTTCTAAATTCTTAATTTCTTTGTTTACTTTCCCTCTGTCAAAAAAATTGCCAAAGGAACCTCAGTCTACAGGGAGTAGCTGCTTTCTGCATTTGCTACTTCAGCAGCCTTCAGAATCCTTTTATGCCTTTTAGCAGTTGATCATATTTCCCAGTTAACAATTGTTGTTACTAAATTATCCCCATTCATATTATGGGGAAGTGGTTTATTTCTCCTGACTGGACCCTGATTGATATATAAGGACTTAAACAAAAAGAGATCAAGAGAAGGAAAGGACAGAGACACAAGGAGAATGAAACCTGGTAAGTTCCAAAGTAGGTTCACAGCTCTACCATAAGCCTGTTGGCTTGCCCTCTACACAGGATACACCAGCAGTCCACCAGCACACAAAAAAATGATTTTCTCACTTGCAGTTATTACTAGGGAGTGGGAATGGTAGTGGGAACTGAGATGACCACATCTAACTCCAGGAAATCGCCATGTACGTGAAGAGGCAGCACAATGATCATCTGGGAAAAATATTGCCAAAGCAACTACAGTGAACTGGCACCAGTGTAAAATGTGATGCTTATAGTTTTTGTGAGATGGAGTTTTGCTCTGATTGTCCAGGCTGGAGTGCAATGGCGTGATCTCGGCTCACTGAAACCTCCAACTCCCAGGATCAAACGATTCTCCTGTCTTAGCCTCCTGAGTAGCTGACATTACAAGTGCATGCCTCCGCACCTGGCTAATTTTTGTATTTTTAGTAGAGATGGGGTTTCATCATATTGGTCAGGCTGGTCTTGAACTCCTGATCTCAGGTGATCCACCCGCCTCGACCTCCCAAAGTGCTGGGATTATAGGTGTGAGCCACTGTGCCTGGCCTGATTAGTTTTAATACACTCAAACCTCATAACAGAAACTTTCTGTTGCACCTTTTACCTATGTTATCTAAATAAAAACAAATAACGCTGAATAATCAAATAACACTGGCATCCTTTAATTCTAACAAGTATGTTAGAATTACATAGATATAGTTACCTAATAAAGCTCTTAAAAGCAGCAGACTGAGGGTTGATGCAGAGAGGCACTCTGTTTCCTTTCTGCTGTTCCAAAATGAACTGGTGAATAATTTCTGTGGAGAAAGCAAGCATCATACAATCCATGACAATTTGCAGGCCTGGGAGCAGTGAATTCTCAGCTGACTCTAGCCAGCATCTGAATAACATTTCCTACTGGTTTAGTTAAATCAAACAACACATCATCTATCAAGCAGAATTCAGCTGAACTTCCTAAAACTGAAATGACAGCTGTTGCTAAATGTAGGCAAAAAACCCACTGGTGGCATTACAGACTGCAGCCCCATCAGTGGAAAGAGTAAAATGGTCTATAAATTAGAGAGACACTCCAAGGTTTGGCATTACAGATGAACTCTTCTAAGTTGCTGCCTTTTGGAAGATCAGTTGGTATCTAGGTATATAGTTTCAGGTGGTTACTTGGGGACTACCCTCTCTCTTGTAAAATGTCCTAGAGTAGACACTAAAATGACTCAGAATTTTGATTGTCATTATCCCCACTGTATCCCAACAGGAGACCCTGTAACAAAATTTTATGAGTACACTATCAGAAATTCCCTTCTCTTGTCATCATCCAAGGAATGATTCCCTCTGTGAATTTTTATACTTAATGGAACTTTGTATATTATATAAAGAAGATCAATACGTTTCAATCAATGAAATGACATTGAGTGAATACATATTAAATGTATTTTGAGTCATACTCACTAAATCAACTTTGGAAATAAGAACAAACTATTCATGCCTCTCCCCAACCTTCCCCTGTGTGTAATATTAAATATGAATTGTTATGCCCTGGACACATAGCTATATTCAGGGTTGTAAAATAAACATACCAGGGAGCTTTGGTTACCAACCACATCTCAGCTCTTCATGGACACCTGATGAAAAATGTTACTTGGCATCTTGCCTGGCCCAAGGCCAAACCAGATACTCACCTTTAACCTGTCGGACAGAACTGAGGTTCTTCTCAAAAGTGTCATCAAATTTGGGATTAGTGACAGGCTCAAAGTCACTGGTATAAACTCTTCCAGTAGAGGTGGAAAAGCAACATTTACACATACATGTGTGATATCGTAGTCGCCCTTCATCTAGGTAGGGGTGGGCTAAGGCATCCTTAGCGGATATTCTTTTGGACTGAAATCAAATTAGAGACCAGCACATCAACACTACAGATAAATATGACTGTCCACATAGGATCTTTCAAAAGACATACTAACTGCTTTACACAGCTTATATATAATTTATAGTACATCCCATCCAAAGAGGGATAATTGAATTTAGAGGTGGGTAACATAGCAGCATAGGGAGTGTATGATTCAGGACAACTACTGTTATCATCTACCATCATAAAGTACTTAGAAGTGCCTTTCTGTTGAAATTCTCTGAGAAGTTCCTACTCTGAAACAGATGTATGCAGGGTCAAAAATCACAAATACCACGACATTTAACTGTGTAGTGATTCGAATGGGGTTACATTTAATATTTTAAACAACAGGCTGTGTTTTCTAAATATGTGTCAGCATCCAAAAGATATGTTCATAGTGGCAGTCTTACAAAGCTGCTTGAAATTTTTATTCTCTTAGAATACCAAATAGACTAAGGCAAAAGCTGCTGGAGTTAGGCAGCAGATAGCGGTCTGACTGCCATGTTTTGAGATACAGCTCAGTCTGAGTATCAGGAGTCTAGCTTTTTATTTTCTGGCACTTAAAAAAATTTTTTTTGTAGAGATGGGGTCTCTCTATGTTCTAGAATTTCTGGCCCCCAGCCTTGGCCTTCCAAAGTGCTGGTACCGCAGGTATGAGCTACTGTGCCCCGTCATTTTCTGTGACTTTAGATCAGAATACTTAATATATTAAAGTTTACCTGAAAATCTAAACTTTTAAACTTATTACTCCATTAAAAAATTAAAGAAACTGTGCCTTCTTTTAGCTCAGTAGACCAATGTGTACTACTGAGACAAAGTAAATTTTAAAGGATTTAAGGATGAACTCAATAGTACAGAGTAGAACAAAAATGAGAACACTTTGCTCTGATTCCAATATGACCAAGCACTTCACATTACACAATTTAAAGAAGAAAACCACTTTAGTTTTCAAATAAACCAAAAACAACTGAATCATCCTAACTGTTCTGGTCCCCAAATAATAATAAAATGTTTTCCATAAACCTGGATTCCCTACAAACACTTTTATCTCTGATTTTTGCTATGCTGATCTAAAAGGGCATGCCATGACCTTTAAAGATAAGATAATCACAGAAGAAAGTGGGTGTTTTATTCACCATGAACTGGCAAATGGGTACTTGATAACCTTGGTTTGTTTTCCTTTCAATGAGTTTATGTTTTGTATTTGGTGACCTAGCTCTTCTGAAGTCTGACTCCCCTGCACTCTTAGCAAGTAAACTTTTTCCTTTTCTTTTTTTCTAAAAAAGTCTGAGTCCTTTGACAGCTATTCCTAGAGGTTCCACTGGGACAGAGTTCCAACTGCTGGAACCCAAAGAAACAAGTAGGCTGACAATGTGCAAGCCTGGTCAAGGGCCCCTCTCAGCCCTTGGCTTCCCTTTCCATTTTTCATTAACTTCTGTTTATGAGTTTCAGCACAGAACTTCAAGTTTATCCTTCTGTTTCTTTAGGTCATATACAGCGATCATTCCAACAACTTACTTCCAAGTGTGAAGTAAGATGCTTCACGTTTATACCACTGTCCAGTTTCTCCAATAGTTTGGCATTCTGTGCTATAGATAAACATAAATCCTTCCTTTTTAAAAAAAAAAAAAAATCACTGTTACTTGCTGGGTTATCTGCAGGACTTCTTGACATTTTCAATAATATCTTTACTCCACAGAGCAGGGAACAGGCAAAAAATACAAAATAATGCCCATAGGTCTTGGCACCATGTGAAGCATTGTGGGGAACCTGACATTGGTGCATCTGGCCTGCACATGTGCCACTTTATCACTGTTGTGGACACACTTGCATGGGGGAATCTGGATATGCTTGGGGAAGATAGAATCACAGCTGACAGAGGCTAGGAGGATCTTTTTCCCTTGGGGATACTGAACAAACTGTGTGTTGTATACCTGCTTTTTGACTGTGACCTGTCACTAAGGTCAGGTAATTTGCGATGTCATGTTGGCATTCAAAGTTCCAGATTAGGGATGCTCAATGTGTATTTGTATGTATGTGTGTGTGTATGTGTACTCACCATAGACACCTGCCTCTTAGACTGAATCAAGTAATTGAGTCAGCATTTCCAGTACTGTTTCAGTCTGGGGGCAGACACACCATGGCAGTAGACTGCTTAACCCAAGATCAACAAAACAAGAATAACTAGTTACCTAAGACTAAACGGACTAAATAAATACACTAATTTATTTATGGTCAATGGTCTGTTCTTCATGGGTATTTAAAAGGGGCTCACGCCTGTAATCTCACCATTTTGGGAGGCTAAGGCTGGTGGAACATTTGAAGTCAGGAGTTCGAGACCAGCTTGGCCAACATGGTGAAATCCTGTCTCTACCAAAAATATAAAAATAAATTAGCTGGGCGTGGTGGTGCACATCTGTAATCCCAGCCTCTCAAGAGGCTGAGGGAGGAGAATCTCTTGAACCCAGGAGGTGGAAGTTGCAGTGAGCCGAGATCGTGCCACTGCACTCCAGCCTGGGCTACAGAGTGAGACCCTGACACACACACACACACACATACACACACACACACACACACACACACACACATTCTCTCATTTCTTCTTAATGTATTGCTGACTTTTAATTTAACAGGTTAAAATCAGAACAAAACTCTCTTTAAATGGTTTCTTGTTCTGACTGAACTCTCAGAACTGGAAATTAAAAAAAAAATCCATTATTAATATAGATCAAAAGCTAACAAAGCATCAGGCCAATTTAAAAATAATAATTCTGTAACAAAGTAATCAACTTGTTAGCTTTGTTTATAACAGTGATAAAAGCAGTTAATTATTATGTAGTGTACATTAACTAAATTAATTTCTTTCTTTTTGAGACAGGGTTTTTGCTCTCTCTCCCTTGCCAGGGTGGAGTACAATGGTGGGATCATGTCTCACTGTGGCCTCGACCTCCTGGGCTCAGGCCATTCTCCCACCTCAGCTTCCTGAGTAGCTGGAACTATAGACACATGCTACCATGCCCAGCCAATTTAAAAAAAAAATTAATTTTGTAGATGTGGGGTCTCCCTAAGTTGCCCAGGCTGGTCTTAAGTTCTTGGGCTT